ACCAGCCTGAGCAAGAGCGAGACCCCGTCTCTACTATAAATAGAAAGAAATTGTCCCGAGAGCAGCCGAGTGCCGTGAAACCCGCTTCCCGCCTGTGATTTGAAACCCGAAGGACCCTCAGCGGCGGCCGGGTTGGGGGGCTGGCAGGGCGGGGACCCCCCACCCCCGAGTCCCTCCGTCCCCCTCTGACGCCGCCCCTCCCCCGTCCGCCCTCAGTGCCCAGCATGCAGTTCGCCCGGGACGCGCTGCGGGTGGCCGAGAAGGAGGGCGTCCTGCAGGCCCCGGTGGCCCGCAGCGGGGACCTGAGCTACGCGTCGTCCGTGCGCTGCTACACACGTGGCCTCTCGGCCCGGGCCCCGGACGACTTCGGGGAGAGGCCGGACGCGGAGGCCTCCCGCGTCACCTTCCTGAAGGGGGAGCAGGTAAGCGGGTCCCTGGTGGCGGCCGGGAGACAGGCTCCCTTCTTCCCTGCGGAATTCCTGTGTGCAGGCCTGCCGTGTAGACAGGTGCCCGAAACCTTCGGGATTCCTTGATGTCAAACTTGACCCTGGAACGATAATGCAGGCCGTGTAGACAGATATAGGAAATCTTCGGGATTCCCCAATGTCAAAGTTGACCCTGGAAGGATAATGCAGGCCGTGTAGACAGATGCAGGAAATCTTCGGGATTCCCCGATGTCAAACTTGACCCTGGAAGGATAATGCAGGCCGTGTAGACAGATGCCGGAAGTCCTCGGGATTCCCCGATGTCAAACTTGACCCTGGAAGGATAATGCAGGCCGTGTAGACAGGTGCCGAAGTCCTCGGGATTCCCCGATGTCAAAGTTGATCCTGGAAGGATAATGCAGGCCGTGTAGACAGGTGCCAGAAATCTTCGGGATTCCCCGATGTCAAACTTGACCCTGGAAGGGTAATGCAGGCCGTGTAGACAGGTGCCGAAGTCCTCGGGATTCCCCGATGTCAAAGTTGACCCTGGAAGGATAATGCAGGCCGTGTAGACAGGTGCCGGAAATCTTCGGGATTCCCCGATGTCAAAGTTGTCCCTGGAATGATAATGCAGGCCGTGTAGACAGATGCTGGAAGTCCTCAGGATTCCCTGATGTCAAAGTTGACCCTGGAAGGATAATGCAGGCTGTGTAGACAGATGCTGGAAGTCCTCAAGATTCCCTGATGTCAAAGTTGACCCTGGAGTGATGACGCAGGGGCCACGGATGCTGAGATCCACCCCCACACACAGTCAGAAATTTGTGTCTGCCTTTTGAGTCCCCTAAAACAGGACTACCGTGTTTCTCCAAAAATAAGACAGGGTCTTCTTTTTATTTTTCCCCAAGAAGACACCCCAGGGCTGATTTTCAGGGGATGTGTTATTTCTTTTTTAAGTACGTACAACTATCTACATTGATTGAAATAGAGTGAAGGCGTCTTCTACTGGAACATCATCCTCACTCTCCAGACCCCAAATCCCATCCTGAATGTCCTGCGACTCTGTTTCCTTTAGAGCCACCGGCCCCGATCTCTCCTGTGGAGCACTAGAGCTCTCACGGGGCGGATGAGAAGGGCTGCTCGTGTTCTTTCCCGCTCCGCGACGACACGCACGGGTTGTGCAGATGCGCGAAGCCCCACGCCGGCCCAGAAGCCTTCCACTTTATTTCCTTTGTCTTGTTTTATTGTATTGTGCTGCTTTCAGCTGATTGCAGACTTCTTTGTATATCCTAAAGTATTGATCTTCAATTTTAAGACATTTTATTGTTACTTCATTTATCGTAGTTGAGCGCACACACGAGTATGCGGCTCTGTCGGCACGGGGGCTTAGAGTGACGTGCGTGCTCAGCCTCGCTCAGCCAGGCAACGCCAAAACTCTGGGCTCAAGGCGATCTCCTGCTCAGCTCCTCCGAGTAAGCTGGAACTAACAGGGGTCAGGCACCACCACGTCGCGCGGCTAAACTTTTCTATACCTACGTCTGTAGGTGCAACTACATC